TTCTGTGGAAGCAATATTTTGGCCAAGATTTTTTTGGGAGAAAGTACTTTTATTAGTTTAAATTGTTATATAGTTTATAGAATATGATAACTTGTCACAGGCAGTTGGCTGAGGAAGAGGTATTGTTACCTCAGGTTTTACTTTGCGTGATACAAATGCAACCTCCTGGGGCCCAGGCGCCTTCTCCCGTGGTACAGCTATCTCCTAGTAATTCTGATGTTCTGCGGAATGTGACTTTTCTTTCTCAGTAGACTTTTGCTGTTGAATTTCTGAGCAAGAATTTGATAGTTTTGTCGAATTATTAGGAAAACATGCCTTTCAAATGTAAACAGTGAACAAAATAGAGTGACGTGGAAGTATAAATTGAGCTCACATTTTCTAATAGTTTTGTCTGCTTGCATTTTCTTTCTTTTCCAAATGCCCCTTCATGTCCTCATCGACGTGTAACGATTTGCGCTTGTGGCTAGGTTATAAACAAGCCAAGTTAATCCATAATAATTTCCAGTGAAGAAGCTGCTGTTGGCAGGCACTAGGTGTCCATGGCAGTGTTTTCTTGCAGCCTAAGCTCGCTTTCAGCCTGGAAACAGATTACCACTGCATACAGCTAAGCAGTAATTTTTTAGACTACATTTCGAGGACACTAGTTTCTCTAGCAGCTAATTAAACGCTAAAAAAATATTAGAACTGCCCATAAAGTCAGTTTGGGGGCTCATTGTTAATAATTTTATTGGGGTGCTCCTAAATAGCAGGCGCAGCTTGTACAAGGCTATTTGATCTTGAACTGCAAATCTTCCGGTTAATTCTTACCAACTGTCTACTTTGTGTCACCTCTTTGGAGACCCTCCTCGGGGCATTTATTTCCTAGCGAGTACTACTCACTAGCATGCGTTGATTTCCGGCTCAGCAAAGCAAGGAACTTTTTCGTCGAATTTTGCTTTCTCGCATGATCGCAGTGATAATCTGCAAGTGGCTCAGCTGACGTGGAATCTGCCTGTTGCTCGTCATGATGAGATGCTCTGCGCATCCTTCGCTTCACTGTTTCTCTGCAGCTCTGGGCGTTCGCTGTTCTGCTTTCGTCACTGACCACGTTTCACCTCCGCACTCTTTTCTACGTAATGGCATTGGAAAGGTGGACGCATTCTTTTTGGTTCAACATTTTAGAGAAATAGGCGGTGCTGCAAAATTTCCCTTATTCAGCATCTTTTTTTCTTGCAGCCTCCTGCTTTTCATTGTAACATGCATTCACTTGTCGAAACAGAAGTAACTGTAAAGCTCATCAGGCTTAAACCAACTGTCTGTAGTGTGCCACAAGCATATCGGTATTTTGCGTCATCTTCGTTTTCGATACGTTATTTTCAAGCCCATTTTATGCGTTGAGCCCCTG